CCTCAGCCAGCCCTGCTGGCTGGGGAATTCTGGGAGTTGAAGTCTACCCCTCTTAAAGTTGCCCAGGTTGAAGAACACTGCTCTATCAGTTTGAACACCCAAGGTGGCTAACAACTGTTGGAGTGCCACAAAGGTAAGAAGGACTTGGAAACCACAAAGTGAGCTGTTGGATGAGATGGTGATTATAAATATAATCTAGAGATACACACAAACTCATTTGCAAACTTTGGGTCTTAGTGAGATTTCTTATGGGGTGGCAGAAACATCCTCAGGACAGGACCACAACAGGCTCTGGTGGGCCAGGAACTGCACCCCAAAAGGAACTTGGAGTTGGGATGAAATCTGAGTTGGATTCTGCTTCCATTCCTACTTAAATCTGGCCCATATGATTACACTCAAGGCAGATATTTCTTGTTTTTCCCTTCTGTCATATTAAACGTTACAGTCGGGTAGACCTTTGGACCTCTCTGGAGCTTCTGATGTTCACCCTTATCCAGACTGTGCCCCTGTTGGAGGAGAAGCAATAGCGTGACAAGTGACTTTCAGAGGACCACGCAGCCACAAGAAGGCGACTTGATTAATCCAACCGGGGTTCCTAAAAGAGAAAGCAAGACATGACTAGTGATTGCATGGAATCGAGAACTCTAGAGGGATCCAAGGGTTGTCTTCCAGATGTGAAGCAGAAGGGTGTGAAACCAGAAGCTAAGTCCTCCTCCCCTTTCCTCCAGCTGGATGGAGCAGAAGAGGTGTGACCTCGCCCTCGAGAAGAACCACTTGGCTCACAGCGTCTCAGGAAAAGGAGGGGGAGAAAGGTGAACATGGAGATCCAGAGAAGAAATTGCTCCAGGCAAGCACTAAGCTGATGCAGTAATGACCTTGGCCAGGGATTCAGCTTTACAGACTCCATGTGAGGAACCAGCCGGAGGCTTCTCTCTCTCTCTCAAGCGGTATTTTGGAAATAAAAATTTTAAAGGCTCTTAACCACATGAACAGGAATAGAAATAAACAGTCCTGTTCTTGGGGAGGACAAAGAAGAGCCGGCAGGGTTGACTGCAGCTGTTCTAAGACATGGGAAACTTTTGTGCTTGGGTGGAGGGGCCTTAACCTCCAGCTCTGGCAGAGAAGCATGATTAAATCGAGGGCGTCTTAGACAGATGTTTTTGGAGACTCACACCTTTCTTAATAGCCCATCTCCTCCCCACTTCCTCTCCTCCACTTGCCCCACTTCCTCATCAACCTGGTTGAAGGTCAGGAAAAACATCCTAGTGGTGAGAGCAATTTCATAAGGGAACCAACAACTTAAGAATGGGATCGAGCAAGGTTAGGTGGATACTGGTTGAGGGTGCTTGATTCTGTGACGTTCCTGTGCTGAGCAGGGGGGCTGGGCTGGATGCCCTCAGTGGCCCCTTCCAATTCTGAGGTTATGGGGTTAATTTGGGCCCTTCCAAGCTGTAAGTCTGAGCCCTACAATCCAGCCTTAGCAGGAACCTCACGAAATCAAATGTGGAGATACGAGCCCTAGATGTGAGCTCCAACAGCTTCGGATCACGTTCAGAGTCCACCCCAGTTACTCCTGATGCCATTCTTAGTGTTTGTATCCTGGTTTGTGGGCTGGGTTCTCCGAGCACGCCTAACCAGCTTAGTGACAGACTCGGCAGCTGCGTTCACGCGGCAGCCTAAACGTGGTTAGCGTGAAGCTTGGCTTGGAGTTTTGTGGCGGAGCATTTCGTGCGAACTCACCCTGTTTGGTTCGCGTAGGATCCAGGGCAGCAGCAAGGCCTGGAAAATGGGTTGATTCAGGAAGCGAGCGAAGCGTGTGATGAATTAGAAAGAAATCCAGGGCTGAAGCAAGAATACTGCACAGTGAATTATTTATTTGTGGTTGGAAGGCGAATGCCTGCGACGTGGCACCCTGCCCTCTGGACTTTGCCTACAACAATTCCCCTTTGTTATTTCCTGGCAGGGGAATTTTCTTGGAAGGGGGACCCAAAGCCAAGTTTTGGATGCAAAATGGGGATTTGGAAAAAGGTAGATGACAGGGCCAGTTCTTTTCTGGGCGCAATCTTGGCCAGCGGTCACGCTCCAGCAACCTCACACAAGTTTCCCGTTGCACGCTCTCCTTCCTCCGGTCGTTAGCAAAAGGGACGGTGGGAAAAAAACGGCGTCGGACGATCGCCCTTGCAAGGACGGATTCAAAAGAAAAACAACGGCGATTTCTGTGGCTCCTTTTCCAAACCCAGGGCCAGAAATGGAGCTTGAAAGAGGGCCTGTTTCGATGCTCAGGCATTCTGGAAATTTGGCAGACCGTTGAGAGAGGGTCAAGGCAGCGTGAGGCCTCTTCCCTTGATTTTAAAACTTGCTTTCTCCCTGCCTCGGTGCCCGTAGAACAGATCACGACAGGAGTAAGCTCAAAGCGTGCTAGGCTTTTTGCATAATGCAGGGCGGTGTTTCTCAACCTTCGCCACAGGTCCTGAAAACCTCCAGATGTTATTGGACCCTGGACTCCCACAAAATCTTCTGCCCTGATTTCCTTAAGCTTAAAAAGCTCTAGACCGAAGTTGAGCATTGCTCTAATCCTAACATCTAGTGGGAACACATCACATCCTTCACTCTCACAACATTAATCTGCTCAGTTACAAACCCAGAGCTGCCTTTCTACCACCTACCAAGCTTGCTTTTAACCATGATTAGCCTTAGTTTGGCACCTTGTTTGTGGCTTGGCTAGTTTGTGGTTTGGCATCACATTCCCACGACATGCTTGCTTATTTATTTATGGATTCACGGGCCCAGCCATTGATTCATTTACTGATTTATTTACTAGTTCACTGGCACAGATGTTAAAAACACCCAACTCCAACCCATACTGGGGGCTTCTTTGCATGAGAAAAAAACATAACAATAAAATGCAGAAACAAAGGATACGTGCCCTGAGAAACCATGCCTGAACCTGGGCTTGCACAAGACGCCAAACCACAAACTAGCCAAACTAAGGCTAACTGTGGTTAAAAGCAAGCTTAGTAGGTGGTAGAAAGGCAGCTCTGGGTTTGCAGCTGAGCAGATTAATGTCGCGAGGATCTATATTTGAAGGGGCTAAAACTCTGGTTGATCAACTTCACAGCTACAAGGTGCGCATCACAGACCCCGGAGAGGAAAAGATTATTGGGCTGCGGCTGGAGGAGCACAGAACATACATTTCTTGTAAAGTAATTATAAACTCCTATGCATTTATTCCCTCATCTGCGCACAGAAGCATCTCTGAGCAATGTAGGAACGCAAAATTCTGCCTTGCACACCCAAACACGGGTGGCAATGGTTTGGAACCCCTTTGGAACTTGGGGGGCATTCACAGAGACAGGGAAAGACCCCAGACCACAACT